CACTGCTTCCAGCCTGGCAGCTAACACAATAGTTTAAATCCATTTTCTAATTTCTTTTAGAGAGGCAGCATAGTGTAATGGGTGGCAGCTAGGTGGCTCAGTGGAGAGGACACCAATCCTGGAGTCAGGAAGACTTAAGTTCAAATCCAATCTCAGACACCTACTAGCTGTGTGACCCTGGGGAAGTCACTTAACCCTGTTTGCCTCAGTTGCCTCATCTGTAAAATGAGCTGAAGACGGGAATGGCAAATAACTTCAGTATCTTTGTCAAGAAGACCCAAAAAGGGGTCATGAGGAGTTGGACACAACTGAAACCACTGAACAATAACACCAACATAGTGTAATGGAGAGAATACTGGATGTACCCAGGAAGACCTGGGTTCAAGTACTGCCTTAGACACTTACCAGCTGTGTGACCCTGGGCAGGTCACTTAATTTCCCTTAGCCTCAGTTTACTTATCTATAAAATGGGGATAATAATAATACCCTCAAAGGGTTGTTGTGAGGGTCAGTTGAGAGAATGCATGTAAAGTGCTATATACATGTCAGATGTATTATCTTTCTCACACTCACCTTAAACTCACATACTGATTCTCAGTGATCTACTCTGCATTTCTAAGGGGTTCCCTGGGACTGATCAATCCCACCTGGGTGAATCCTCATCTAGTCTGTCATCCAGATCAAAAGAAAAAAAAATCTTTGAAATTATCTTCCTTATAGAATCCACTTTTCACTATCAATCCTTCTGAGCCCTCAGGGAGATCTCTTTACCCCACCCCCACCCCTTTATTTCCGGAAGACCTGAACTAAAGCAGATACCTTGATGTGTGTGACATGATATATACGTGCTGCTTGAGGCAGCTTCATGCTGTGGATAGAATGGAGTCCGGAAGAGTTGAGTTCAAATCTTGCCTCAGCTACTTACTGCCTTTGTGACCCTTAACAAATTGCTTAGCTTTTCTGAGTCTCAGTTTCCCTGTCTATAAAATGGGGGTGATAATAATAGCACCTCCCTCACAGGGTGGTTGTGAAGATCAAATGAGTACTTTGTAGACCTTAAAGAGCTATAGAAATAGCCACTTTTATTGCAATTTAGTCCCTGTGGAGATTGATAAAACCCGTCACTGAAAAGACTGTTCAAAGATAAAAGAGAATTTTTACCCATAAGTTGAAACTAAGCCCCAAGCCACCCACCGGTGTCCAGAGTTGGTCAAAGTACAGTATGGCGGATTTTTTTTTAAAGGGAAACGTTCCCCCCAAATTCTTTGATCTTCAGGGTTGGATCATTCCCAGTATTTATTTTCTGCTCAGTGCTCATGGGATTTGGCATCTCATCCCATCAGTCTTCACTTGAGCAGGCTCTGTGTGTACATGGGAAAAATGACCTAGGGAGAAAGTGAGTGTGAACCCACTTAGCCAAGGGAAAGGGGGCATGAGAGATGTGACTATGTGCTCACCCCCTGCCTCTGGGCCAATCCACTTGTCTCTCTGGCTTTCTCTTCATCTCCTCTAATTAGGATACAGGCTTTTTGCACACTGTCTTGCCTGCTTGATCTGCACCCCCTCTGCAGCTGTGCACAGCTGGAGTGGAGGGTTCAGGGACCTGCTACTATCTTACAAAAAAAGTGACATCCGTGGGTGGAACACAAGTATTTCCCTCTGGCAGTATTTATGGCCTTGTGGGTTAGCAAATGCTAGAAAGTCTACCGTTTTAGGAATTATTTTAAATCATTTCATTTCTGTGCCTTCAAAGCTCCTGGCCTTGACTGAGTAACTCTGAGGACACCTGGGGAAAAGGGTCCTGGGCCACTGCAAAGGAGTAAGAGTGGGCTTGGTAGGTACCAACTATTGAATATAGTTAGTAAGAACACAGAGAAAGGACCTCTCATTTCAGTGAGGAAACCTTCCCCTGCCTCCTTGTTCAACTTCATAAATAATTGTGGGTTCAATTGGAAAAATATATTGAGGCCAGATCATGGAGGTCCTAGACTACTAATCTAAGGAACTGGTAATTTGGAGGCAGTGGGAGCTATTGAAGCTTCTTGAGTGAGGGAGTGGTATATTTGAATAAATGTTTGTTTAGGAAGAGCAATCTGGCGGGGGTGAGCAGGATGGATTGGAGGAAATCACCATGCAAATTTTCCTATCTCCTCTCCCTTCCAACCCCACTAATTTCCCTCATTTTACAGATGAGGAAACTGAGGTCTAAAAAGACTAGGTTACTTTGGCCTGGCCACACAAGTAGTGAGCATCAAAGGTGGAATTTGAATCCAAATCCTTTGGTACTTTATACTACCCTCACCCTGCATTCCACCACCAGGAAGATGAGAAAATCTCTAAATTCTAATTCCAGCTCACCATAAACAGGTTACTTCCTATACTGTCCACAGAGTGAAAGAATATCTGACAGAGAGCTAAGGACCTGATTCTAATCCTTGCTCAGTTACCCCTGACTGACTGTGCCTGTGACCTTGGGCTCCTAGGCATGTCTCTGATTGTAAATAAACGGATTGGCTTCTCAATCTGGTTTATGTCTCTTGTGAGTGTGGTCAGTGATGGGGGGCAGCATGACAAGAAGAAAGACTATGGAACTTAGTGACATAGGATCTGGGTTTGAATCCTATCTCTGCCACTTACTAGCTGTGTAATTTAATCTGTATAGGTCTTGGTTTCCTCATCTGAGGAAATATACCCTGGGTATATTAATTAAATGAAATTTCTGATTCTGCAAAGCTAAGGACAAACCTTTAGACCCATGGTGACCCTACCACAGTGTGGACACACAGCAGTGGTAAGGCTGAGTAGTCAGCTTTGCTCTCTTTCTTTTGTCCAGTCGTTTTCAGTCGTATCTGACTCTCCATGACCCCATTTGTGGTTTTCTTGGCAAAGATCTTGGAGTGGTTTGCCATTTCCTTCTCTAGCTCATTTTACAGAAAAGGAAACTGAGGAAATGAGGCTAAGTGACTTGGCCAGGGTCACATAGATAGTAAGTGTCTGAGGCTGGATTTGAACTCATGTTTTCTTGACTCCAGCCCCAGAACTTTCTCCACTGTGACCTTTAGCTTCCTTCCAGAGGTAGAAATGACAGGATTCTACATTTATACTCCTGTTTATGATCTGGGCTCAAATCTCTCCTCTGGCGCTTACTGTTTATGTGACCTTGGGCAAGTCAAGGTACCTGTCTGGTCCTCAGTTTCCCTCTCTGTCAAATAAAGTGGTTGGTCCCTTCCAGCCCTGCAATTATGAGTCAATGACCTTATGGTACCACACAGGTAAGTGCTGGAATAGGCCTGTAAGAAGAAGACTGGGAAGCAGAGCCTGGTTTCCAGTATATAATTTCAAGGTCACAGGCATGGCATGAGTCATTTCTATGGTTGTTTTTCACCTATATGAGGTACTTCCTGTGAAGCCATGTCAGGCCAGGGATGGAGGAGTAGCAGAAAGGAATTATCTGCCATGCAATGAATGGGCGTCTAGGGAGCTCTCCACCAATGCTCTACCCACAGCTAGTCTCAGAGCAGAGGACCAAATACTGGAGCCATATCACAGTGCCAGGCAGAAGACCCATGGAGTAGAGGGCTGTGGGGGGAGCTCAGTGCTCAGGAAGAGGCAGGGGTAAAGGAGTCTAGTCTACAGTTTGGGGGGGGCAGGAGCTCTCGGCATAGAGTGCCCATGTATTACCTCCTCCTGCAGCCTCTTTTAGACTAGCTGAGCATGTAGACCCACAGCTGTCTGCCAATTCTTCTCCCTGGACTCCCTGGGTGAGGAGAGGTGGATCTCTAAGCCCTTATTCTAGTTCATCATCATAGGATCTGGGTACTTCCTGACTTCAAGAGACCTGGGTTCTTTCTGAACCTCAGCTTTTCGAGTGGGCATCATAGTATAGTTGACAAGGCACTAGACTTGGAGTCAGAAAGGATTGAATCTTGCTGCAGACACACACAAAATGAGAAACCCTGAGCCTCAGTTTCCCTAACTGTAAAATAAAGATAATAATAGTAATACTCCAGGGGTCTTGTGAGGATCAGACAAGATAATAATTATAAGGGGATTAACACAGTGCCTGGCACGTAGTAAGTGCTATATAAATGTTAGCTAAAAAAAAAAAATGAGAGGATTGCACTAGATAGTCCCTGAGCTGTCCTTGGTTGATGGAGGTGATTGGGTCTGATTTTGGAAGACCTTTCTTGCTTTGCTCCACTGAGTCCTTGAATCTATGAAAAGAACTGGATTTTTTTTTTTTTTTTGCCTTCTACCTTACAGCTGAGGAGACTGTGCTCTATTTGGGGACTATTTGGGGGCAGGCAGCTGTAAAGATGCTGTCTCAGTCCCTCTGGCTTATTTGCCAATTTTCCAGTGCTTTCCTGGCTGGGGGTGGGGGAGACAACTGGGTATGTTTAGCTTGGGGAAGAAAAGACTCAGGGGGGCATGTGATGGAATTGCTGCCCAGCAAGGTTTTGAAGGGTTGTCACATGGAAAAGGGATTAGATTTGTTCAGCTCAGCCCCAGGGGGAAGAACCAGTAACAGTGAATGGAAGCTTCAGAGAGACAAATTTAGGCTTGTATTCAGGAAAGATTTCCTGAATTAGAACTTTGCCAAAGTAGAATGGACTTACCCCCACCCCCACCCCACCCCGGAGGCTGGATGACCTCTTGTCAAGAACTCGATAGAGTGAATTTTTTGGTGCGGGGGTGTGACGGTGGTTATGGTTGGATTGACTGCTGAAATTCAGCTCTGAGCTTTTGTGATTCTTTGAATGTTTCAAGAATGAATAATCGGGAAGGTAGACAATTGGGAGCCTCTACAGGTTCTTGAATAAGTGAATACTTTGATAGAAGTTTTGTTATTGTTTTAGAAATATAAGTCTGTCTAGGATGTGAGAGTATTTGCACCCATTGCTAAGAAAGCAGACTCTGCTCTGCTACTAATACCCCAATAGTATTTTTGCAGTGATTTCTGCCAGTGAAGCATACTTTAACTTCTTTTTCTCTCTGCCCAGAGCAATGAATGATATTGGCGATTACATAGGTTCTAATGTGGAAATATCCTGGCTCCCCAATCTGGATGATCTAATGGAAGGCTATGCCCGGAATTTCAGGCCTGGTATTGGAGGTAATGCAGGGATATTTGGGGATGGGATGGGAAAAGGGAAGGAAGAATTCTCTGTCCTGAGTCCAAGTAAATTCACATTGATCCCTGTGGGACAATTTGTGTCCCACTGCTTCCTGAGATGGGCAGTGGGCTAGCCCATTCTTCAAGGACTGAGGTCAGTTCTGGGTCTGGAGTATTGCCCAATTAAAGACCGCCCCCCCAAGAGGTTATCCCTATACTTCAGAACTCTGGGAAATGGACAGCAGCATAGGCTGCTGGGGTAGGCAGTCCCCCAGATTTCTTACTGTTTCCCCTTTATCAGCCTAAGTTTGCCTTGGCTGTGTCACCCAGAGCCAAGAACTACAGATTGGCATTGTAAGAAAAAAAAATCAGTGCAATGTGATGAAAAGAAACAAGATTCTACTCTGTTAAGATGGTTCTACTGCTAAATCACCATGTGACCCTAGGCAAGTCCGAGTCCCTCTGTGGCGTCATTTTTCTCCTCTCTAAAATGACTAAAGGATTTCTAAGTCCCTCGCACTTCTAACATTATAGGATTCTTATCATAATCATGGCTATTATTATCTTACTTGAAAAACAGAGTGTGTAATGGATTAAAGTATAGCATAGAAGTCAGGAAGACCCAAATTTCAGTCCTACCTCTGACATAGTCTGGCTGTCTGCCCCCAGGCAAGTCATATCACTGCTCAATGCCCCTGGACAACAATCTTAAGATACTAAGTTACATGCCAATGGATACTGGTGTAGAGAGTTTCCATACTGGGAAGATACCTACCTAGATGAAGCCAAAGGGCTAAACAACAACAACAAAAAAGTTACTTGGGAAATTACTGGAGGATTCCTACATATGATATGCCTCATCAGGGTGCTCTGGGTGATGCAGTGGATAGAGCTGGACCTAGAGTTAGGAAGACCTGAGTTCAGATCCAGCCTCAGACACTTACCAGCTGTAAGACCCTGGGCAAGTCATTTAACCTCTGTTCATTCAGTTTCCTCATTTGTAAAATGGGAATGATAATGGCACCTACCTTTCAGGCTTGTGGTGTGGATCAAATGAGATATTTGTAAAAGTGCATTGTAAACCTTAAGATGCTATAGAAATGCTAGCTATTATTACTGTTGTTGTTATTAGCTAATCAAGCAATTAATCTATCCAAAGAGCATTTATTAAACACCTACTACATATAAGACATTGGGCATACAAGGACAAAAGCAGAACAGTCCCTACTTTAGAGAAGATTAAACTCTAGCTGGGACAAGCAATAAATACATACACAGGTGTATACAAAGTGGATGCAGGGTGAATTTTGGCAGGAGAGGAGGAAGAATGAACTAGTACCTGGAGGAATCAACAGATCATAGGATTCTAGATCTAGAGTTGAGAGAGAGCTGAGAAGTCACTGAGTCCTGGCCTCTCCTTTCACAAATGAGGAAATGCTCTGAAATACAGGGATATTCTCTTACAGGCTGGTCTCTACCTGGGGACTAGCCCAAACCCAGAGATGATCTCAGTCCCTGAGGAATGGGCCCATCTCAGGAAGCAGTGGGACAGCGAGGCCAAGGGTCTTTCCCAAAGTTATCCAGAGTCAGGATTCAAACCCAGGTCATCCGACTCCCAGGCCAGCATCCTTCTTAATGCACTGACATTAGGAACTGCTGCATCGCCTCTCCCACTCTGCCATGATCCATGCAAGCTCTGGCAGGGCCTTCCAAGCTGGAGGGACTTCAAGTACAGGCCCAGTAATGGACTGTTTGTCTTTAATGCAAAGAACAGTCTAGTTAAGAGCAGAAAGGCTTATCATCAGGTTGGTCAAAGGTGACAAGTTGTTATTGTTTTGGGTCACAATAACTCACGAAAATGGGCTACAAAGGCAGGGAGGTTTTGGAATCTGTATCCATTAGAAGTGGGAGGGACTCCTCCTCATAACAAAATCCCAGATCCTTGAATATTGAAATACAAGTAATTACATTATTTCTATTGAGTCCAAGGACTCTCTGTTGGCCTGGGACCAATGCTGGCTCCTGCCTCTGGTGCAGGATTCTTTGGAAACCTGTGCTTGGGTATCTAAACTCCCTGGTGATGGGAACAGATGGGCTGGCTTTCATGTCTCGGATGCAGTGGGGGGATGGGGACTGCCCAGCACAAAGAACTTCTCCACTGCTTTTTCCCTTCTTTCAGGTCCTCCTGTGAATGTGGCTCTCGCCCTTGAGGTTGCCAGCATTGACCACATATCGGAAGCTAACATGGTAACTCTACCCCGTTGCTGCTCCCTCTCATTGGCCACCCTTAGACAGGCTATCCCTCTGCCCCCTTATATACCTTCCTCATGCAGCAGACATTCAAGTGGCAAGGTGAGGGAGGCATAACTAACCAGCAATTTACCTGGAATATATCTGGGCAACTGAATGGACTCCAAGTCCAGCGTGGGTCATCTGAGAAAGTTAATATGTCTTAAATTGCATCAAAAGGAGTAGCATTGAGGACTAGTGAATTGATGAAGGGCTCACTGAATTTTGCCCTTGTCCGACCATGCTTGAAGCATTGTGCTTATTTCTGGGCACCATCTTGAAGAAGGGTACTGATGGGCTGTAGAATGTTTGGAGAGGGTAACAGAATGGTGAAGGGCTCAGAGATCACTCCATGTGAGGATAGATCAGAGGACCTGGGGATCTTTGACCTGGTGAAGGAAAGCCTTAAGGGAGATGTGAGAGCTATCTTTAAGTATTTGAAGGGCTATCATATGAAAGGGGGATTAACTAGGTTCTGATTGGTCTCAGGGGGTAGAACCAGTAGCAATGGGTGGAAGGTAGAAAGAAACAAATTTGGGCTTCATATCAGGAAAATTTTCTTGAGTTAGAGGCATATGATAGTGGAATGAGCTGCCTTGGGAAACAGTGGGTTCTCCACCACTGGAAGTCTTCAAGCAAAGGCTGGATGACTAATTGCCAGGGATGTTGGAGAAGGTATCCTTGTCCAGGTGTGGGCTCTACTTGGTGGGCTCTGGGGTCTCTTCCAACTCGGAAATTCTGGGATTCTGGCCACAAGTAAGTGAGGCTCTGGGGTGATCTGCTGCCTCTGGTTTCTCTCTCCCTTTCCTCACTCAAGGAGTACACCATGACCGTGTTCTTGCATCAGAGCTGGCGAGATAGCCGATTGTCTTACAACCACACCAATGAAACCCTGGGCTTAGACAGCCGCTTTGTGGACAAGCTTTGGCTCCCAGACACCTTCATTGTCAATGCCAAATCAGCCTGGTTCCATGATGTAACAGTGGAAAACAAGCTTATTCGGCTGCAGCCCAATGGGGTGATTCTATACAGTATCAGGTAAGGTCCACATCCCCACACAATGGCTCATACAATAACTGTACTCCAGAATTCTAGCATCCTGGACAGGCAGGAGGAAACTGCCCTCTAAACAATTTGGTAATCCACAATGCCAAAATAACACAAGAAGGAATGAAGACAAATTCAATCCAGTTCAATTAAGTTCAACAAGTATTTATTAAGTACCTGCTATATTCCAGGTGTTGGTGATATGAAACAAAAACAAAACAGTCTCTTCCTTCAAGGTGTTTACATGTGCACAATTTTTTAAAAATACCAATAATTTTTAAAGGTGATCACAGTATAATATAAAATGTGGTTTGTTTATTATAGAACAGGAATTCCAGAGAGCACAATGGAAGAGTGGGCTCGAGAAGGACAGGTACACAGAAGGGGTGGAACTAACTAGGATAGTTATGAGAGCATAGGGAACAGTGGCCAGGGAAGAGAGTGTTGGCCCAGACAGCCTCAGATTCTGAATCACCGAGATTCTAAGGGGAGCGATCATGCAGTAAATGGTCATGCCCTTCACTGACATAATAGTATTATTGATTTGATTATCAATCTCTCAGCAAGAGGTTAAAGCAAGAGTAGGGAAAGGAAGAAGGAGGAATTTATGCACATGACAGCACTGCTTGATGGTCAAAATAGGGGATTGGGAGAGCCTTGGAGTCTGGCTGATTATAGACGGGGTAGAGGGTCATTGAGGTACTCACCCTCTAATTACCAGTCAAGTCAGATCTGCCATAGGACTCCCTCCATTGTCAAGTAGATTATCCCCCTTGGGGTTGGATATTCAACTGATGGCATAGGGTAGCTGGGTCAAATTCAAATAGAAATGAAGTCACTAAATTATACATAAAGACCTCATGTAGATGGCATATTGGCAGCATATTAGAAATGTTACCATTTGTATGTTCTATCATATTTTTATTTATTTTGTTAAATATTTCCCAATTACATTTTAATCTGGTTCTGGTCACACCCCAGAAGATTGTTGGCCTCATTGTAGCCTGTGGGCATGTGTTTGAGCCTCTGCCTTAGAATACCCCAAGGTCTTTGTTGGAGAGGCAGCCGACTGTGAAGGGAGTTCACCTGGCATGCAGCTTCTGGGGAAAGGAAGTATGACATCTGCTTATCTTTTATTTTAATTAATTATCCTTGCTAAGTACTTAGCTCAGCTGTTTATACGCTGCTGAAGGGGCATGGGTGCTACTAAAATATAAATATAACAAAATTTAGAATTGGGAAATCTTTAAAAATCATTAAGGTTTTGTAGCCTCTGGATTTCAGCACCCTGGAGAAGAGCCCCAAGGCCATAGCCTAGTTAGATGTGTACCTTTTACCACTAGAATGGCATACTGAATAGCAGCATTCTCTTTCCTTCCTAATCTATGCTTGATAAATGAATCAGCATTCTCTTTCCAAAAGGGGCCTTTCCCTCCTCCTGAGGGAAATTTTTTTTTATTAACATCAGAGGAAGATTGTAGCACTGCATTCCTCTGCTACAACCCAGAGCCTGACTTCATCACTTCTGACCCACAATGATATTTTGAACACAGGGAGATCAACCAAGCCCCATGGAGAAGCTGAGACTTTAGCTTTGTCTACTCAGCAATACACATATAAATGAAAACGACAACAGCAACAAAAAACTAGTCATATTGTCCATTTAGAAAAATCTAGAAATATGCTTGTTAACTGTTATTTATGTAGACATTCAAAAGCAGTTTGAATTTTTAAAAGTTAAGTTCAACGTAACATGTAATTATGGGGTGCCTACCCTAGGCCAAGCACTGTGGTTGGCATTGTGAATAAAAGACAAAAATTAATATGGCCCCTACCTCCGAAGAGCTTACCATGGGGGACTGGAGTTGGGTAGAATATGTACACAGATAAATAAAGACAAAATGTGCACGAAGTAAGTACAAAGTAATTTTAGGTAAACTATTCCTGTTATTATTTTCCTGGATTTTTATTCAGAGATTTAAAAACTAAGTTTCATATTAAATTATTGAAAAGTCTACAGTATGAATTAATGACCTAAGAATCCTGTTTCGTTTACAAGTGAAAATTTTATTGACAGCATTATTGATAGGAGGGAGATCAGGGAGGGTTTCATGTAGGAGGTAGCCCCTGAGCTGTGCTTTGAAGGAAGCTAGGAATTATTTTTTTATATTTATTTATTAAATATTTTCCAATTATATTTTAAAATTTTAACATTCACTTTTTTTCAATTTGAGTTCCAAATTCTCTCCCTCCCTTCCACCCCTCCTCCATCCCTGGAGCAGGCAAGCAATATGATACAGACTCTACATGGGAAGTCATGCAAAACATTTCCATATTGGAAGCTAGGAATTCTTAAAAGAAAAATTATCTTTTGTTTCTCTACCACCTTTATTTCTGAATATATTCTTCCCCTTTCTTTCTTCTCCCCGGGGACTCATCAAGTCATCCCTTGCAGCACAGAATGAAAAAGAAAAAGGGAAATCATTAGACTGTAAGCTTGAGATAAGGGACTGTCTTTTTCTTTCTTTCTTTTTTGAAGGAATTGGGGTTAAGTGACTTTCAGTCAGTGAATGTCTGAGGCTGGATTTAAACTCAGGTCCTCCTGACCCCAGGGCTGGTACTCTATCTACAGGGACTGTCTTTTGACTGTTTTTGTATGCCCAGCACTTAGCTCAGTGCCTAGCACATAGTAGGTGCTTCATAAATATTTATTGCATTGGATGTTTTTTTTAAAAAGCTTATCTAACCCCTCAACTGAGCCTGACACCATATAGATTATTTCACACTCATTTCCCCTGACCTGTGCAAAGAAGGAAGGAGTTGTATTTTTTAAAACCTCTTCTCCAGGGCTAAACTTAGCCATTATGATTATATAGCACTCTATTTCATTATTTATTGTTCTTTCTATTAATATTATTATAGTTACTGTACATATTTTTCTTGATTCTGTTTATTTCAATCAATCAATAGATACATATTAAGCTCCTACTATGTGCCAGGCATCATGCTAGTCAATGGGGACAAAATTATAAAGAATGAAACAATCCCTACTCACAACGAGTACATTCTAATGACAGAGACAAGTTAATAATGATGAAGATGATGATGATAGCTAACATTTATATAGTACCTACTATGTGCAGGCACTATGTGAAGCCTTTTACAACTATCTCATTTGATCCTCACAACAACCTTGGGAAGAGGGTGCTATTATTATCTCCATTTTACAGATGAGAAAACTGAGGCAAACAGAGGTTAAATGACTTGCCTAGGGTCACACAGCTAGCAAGTGTCTCAGTGTCACATTTGAACTCTGGTCGTAACTCCAGGATGAGCATTCTATCCACTGTATCATGTTGCATGAATGCATATGTATACAAATATATATGTACAAATATAGGGCAGCTAGGTGGCACAGTGGATAGAGTGTTGGGTCTAGAATCAGAAAGACTCATCTTCCTGGGTTCAAATCTGGCCTTAGAGACTTACTAGCTGTGTGACTATGGGCAAGTCACTTAACCCTCTTTATCTCAGTTTCCTCATCTGCAAAATGAGCTGGAGAAGAAAATAGCAAACCACTTCAATGTCTCTGCCAAGAAAATCTGAAATGGGGTCAGGAAGAGTCAGACACAACTGAAAATGACTGGACAAGAACAATAAAATACAAATATATACAAAGAAGCTAAATATAAAATAGTTTGGGACAAAGGACACTAGCAGTTGGGGAGGTGGGATGAGGCATGGTCTTGTTCTTTTTTTTTTGTGAGTCAATCAGGGTTAAATGACTTGCCCAGGGTCACACAGCTAGTGTCAAGCGTCTGAGGCTGGATTTGAACTCAGGTACTCCTGACTCCAGAGCCAGTACTCTATCCATTGTGCTGCCTAGCTGCCTGCATGACCTCGTTCCACATCAGTTCACATCAGTCTTGTCATGCTTCTCTGGAGCTTTCACATGCATCAGCATTCCTGTGGTGAGATAATGTTCTTACATTCATGTACTGCTATTTGTCTGGCCATTCCTCATCAATAGGTATTTATTTTGTTTCTGGTTTTGTCCTTCCTACCATTCTTGGGGTGTCCTATTGAATAACAGCCCTTGCCTCCCTTCCTGATTTAGGTTTGAAAGGTGAATCAGGTGTTCTCTTCCAGAAAGGGCCCACTTCCTCTTTCCCTCCTCCCTGTTACTCTATTGGCTGCATTTTTGATTTTCATCCAGATGTTTGTCATCCCCACAATCACAGTCACCAAAAGGTCAAGTGAAGTACTCAACCATTCTGCAAGTCAATGACAGTCTGGTGATCAGTAATAAAGCTACCTAGTGGGTGCTTCCTACTCCCTGAGCATGGCCCGCCCGGCTCTCTTCTGAGGAGGGATGAAGGGCGAATGAAGGAATGTCTCTTCCCTCTATAACCCTCTCTTTCCTCTTGTTTCTCTTTTTCTGGGGGCAGAATCACCTCCACGGTGGCCTGTGACATGGACCTCTCCAAGTATCCCATGGATGAACAGGAGTGTATGCTAGACCTGGAAAGCTGTAAGTACTAGCTGAGCAGCCTAGATCCTGCTGGAAATCTCTTCTTAGGGAAAGAAAGCTTCAGCCTGTAGCCTGTATTTCCTCCCACACCTTCCTACAAATACAGACAGAATCATAACTAGCAATTTTGATAGGAGGGGACAGATTTCACCAATTGAACCATCATTCTCTTCCCTTTCCTTCCTCCTGGGGGAAAATTTTATTAACAGGGAATGAAGACAGGTTGACCCTGTCCAGGTGTGGTCATGCTGGGTGGGATGGCTGATCTTCCAGAGACTCTAGCCAGTGTCTCTTAAAAGCAGCTGATGATCCACAACCCATTAACTCCTGGAAGATGACAGACAGGGAAGAGGGGTGCAGGAGTGGGAGGATTCAGGCCCCAGGAGAGCATCTGATAGCAATGAGACTTTAGTGATTATGTCCCACTTCTGGGTGAAGGAAGAAGGTCATGGGACAGGTAACTATGGTGTGGTTGACTGGTAGGTCAGAAGCTCACAATGGGAAGGAAATACGCTTCCTGGAATATAAGCATCCTGATGCAAAGTTCCAGTCACCCTGACCTAGTTATGTTTCTAAGCTCCCATCCCAACTCTTCTTGCCCAGGTGCCTATGACAGATACAGGCCAAACTCAAGATGATGAATTAAGGGCTATGCTAACTTTTGGTTTTTCATAAGCTAGAAAGTACCTCCCAAAAGATGGCTTTTCATTCTGAGCAGGAAGCATGATCAGGGGACGCCCTTCTTTCTAGTTATAAGATCATAGATTTAGAGGTGGAAGACCACTGAGTCTAACCCTCTCATTTTACAGATGAGGACACTGAGGCACAGAGAGGTTAATATGATTTGTCCAGAGTCACCTGGTTAGTAGATGCCTGAGGTAGGATTTGAACCCAGATATTTCTGACTCAAAGTCCAGCATTCTAACCACTATGTCATGCTGCCTCTCAACAGTCCTAATAATTGTGTCTTGGGAAAAGCTAAAAAAGATATCCTAGAGGTATGTTTGAGCTTTGATTTTTGCCAGGACTGCTTCACTTAGCAGCTCATTCAGGACAGATATAGACAGGAGGATTCTGATACATTCCAATTCCAATTTAACCAGCATTCGTTAAGTACCTACTGTGTGCCAGGTACAGTGCTAAGTACTGCAGGTACAAAAATAATACCAAAAAACCCAGCCCTTACTCTTAAGAAGTTTGCTTCCTGCTTGGGGCAGGGGAGGAAATGGGACAACAAAACATGGACTGAAACAGGTGAATGCAAAGCATATACACAAAAATGCAAAGTAATTTCAAGAGGGAGGGGACATTAACAACTAGAAAAATATGGAAAGGTCTTGTCTAGACCTTTGCGGCACCTGCACTATGTCTGAAGGGAGCCAGAGACTCTCCAAGGCACTGAATGCATTCTTTATTACTAGAACCATCCTGGCTTGGGGTGAGCTAGAATGTATAATGCATGGAGAACTGGCCTCAGAGTCAAGAGGACCTGGGTTCAAATCATGCCTCTCTCCCATGTTGGTTGTGGGACCCTCAGGCAAGTCAATTAACCTCTACAATTATAAATTGAAGAGCAGGTGGCAGGCTACTTTGGTAAAGGGACTTTCCTCACTTGGGAATTCTCCAAACCAATGACATTACAGATCAGGGTTGAAGGGAAAAAAATAGAAGAGCTTGGAAAAAAAGAAACCCCTCTGAACCCCAGTTTGCTCATCTGTAAAATGGCAGCATCACAGGGTGGTTGCAAGGATTCAATGAGATAATATGGGTAAGATGCATTGTAACCCTTAAAGCTATATAGAAATGTGAATTCTTGACAGAATTGTATGGACCTTTTTTCTCAAACAACCCAAACACCATTTACCTCTTCCCTCCTCCACAGTCATTGGCTTCCTAGTTTCAGTAGTAAGAGATATGAAGCTGAAAGGGATCTAAGAGATCATCAAATCCAACCCCCTTGTTTTATAGATGAGGAAATTGGGCCATAGGGAAGCTAAAGACTTAGTCAGGGTCGCCTAGCTAATGTGTCTGAGGAAGGATTCACACTCAGGTCTTTCTGACTCCAAGGCCAATGCCTTATCCACTCCAGCAATTAGACTCTCAAAGTACCTACATTCCCTAGAAGCCCAGTCCTAACCTCGCTCTTAGCTTTTCCTTCACTGGACAGTTCCCAGAACTTAACCACACAGACTGACTCAGAAAGAACCATCTGCACTCCTCCTAGTAATGGAACTCAGTTGGGGATCCTTACAGTTCAATCTGCATTTGGAGAGAAGCCATGGTGTCTTCTACACTCTCATGTACAAGAGCTGATTCCTCTGAATCTGCTCTGGGTTGCTGAAGAGTCTGCCTATCTTGGGAACTTCATCTGTTGGGTTTCTAGACCCTCAGCATCAACAGAAGAAGTTACCATCAATCTAGGGCTGGAAGGAACTTCAAAGTCTTCTACCCCAACCTCCTCCTCCTTGTACAGAGGTTTAGAGAGAGGAAACAATTTGTCCAAAGCCCCACAGGTTTTAAATGGCAAAGTTAACATTTGAACCCAGGCTCTCTGATAGAAAATCTAGAATTCTTTTCCCTGCACCTTACTTTTTCCCACCCTGTGAAGCATTCATGATCTCAAACACACAGGCGGAACACCATCTTCATTGGGTCCTGGGGAGAAGAGCATAGGAGCAGCTGGGGAGCTGCCTTCAGAGCCTAGCCTTCACTCTTCTATTGGTCGAATTTCCTTTGCAGATGGTTACTCTTCAGAGGATATCGTGTACTACTGGTCAGAAAACCAAGAGCAAATTCATGGCTTAGACAAGCTACAGCTGGCACAGTTCACCATCACCAACTACCAGTTCACCACTGAGCTAATGAACTTCAAATCTGGTAACAAGTCTTCCCTGGTTCAGAAAGCATTGGACAGAGCCAACTTTATTTATAAAAAAAAAATAACCTAAGGTCATAGGAGTTGATAATAACATAGCCAGTCTCCAGAAGGGTGAAAATTAGTTACTTCTCTTACATCTTCTTTTTTTGCTTCAACCAAAGACCACCCTGGGTTGGAACTAAAAGTACAGATGGATCTTCCCAAGGCAAGTGGGTCCAATCACTCTGCCCTGGGTGGACCCCACTCTGCAGTGTTGTGTTCAGTTATGGACACCCCATTTTAGAAAGGACATTGATAATCTGGAGAGTGTCTAGAGGTGGGTGACCAGGTTGGTGAAAGGATCATAGGATCCTAGATCTGGAACTGAAAGCAATCTCAGAGAGGCCATCTAGTCCCACCTATCATTTGACAGATGAGGAAACTGAGGCTTTGAAAGATGAAGTGAATCAAAATATCAGAGGAGAGATTTTAGGGGCAGCTAGGTGGCACAGTGGATAGAGCACTGGCCCTGAAGTCTGGAGGACCTGAGTTCAAATCCAACCTCAGACCAAACACTTGACACTTACTAGCTGTGTGACCCTGGGCAAGTCACTTAACCCCAATTGCCTAAAAAAAAAAGACCTTTGAACTCAGATCTTGACTCCAAGGCCAATGTTCTACCCACCATTTCTTGGGGTGATGCAGTAAGAGGATCAGTTCAGGAGCTGGGGAAATTTAGCCTGGAGGGGCAGCTAGGTGGCTAGAGCACCAGCCCTGAAGTCAGGAGGACCTCAGTTCAAATCCGGCCTCAGACCAAACACTTGAGACTTACTAGCTGTGTGACCCTGGGCAAGTCATTTAACCCCAATTGCCTAAAAAAAAAATTTAGCCTGGAGAGGAGGAGATTTAGGGAGGAACATGATAGCCATCTCCCAGTACATGGAGGTTGGTCATGTGGAAAAAGAGAGAGATTTGTTTTGCTTGGTCCCAGAGGACAGAACTAAGAGGAATGGGTAGGAGTTATAGAGAAATGGATTTGGAGAAACTTTCTAACAAATAATGCTAGCCAAAAATTGCATTAGGGCCAGCTAAGTGGCATGGTGTATAGAAAGCCCTGGACCCAGAGTCAGGAAGACCTGAGTTTTAATATGAGTTCTAATATGACCTTACACACTCCTTAGCCATTTGATCCTGGGCAGGTCTCTTGACCGCTGTCTGCCTCAGTTTCATCATCTGCAAAATGGGGATAATAATAGCCCTTACTTCCCAAGGTTGTTATGAGGATAAAATGAATTAATATTTTTAAATTTCTTTGCAAACCTCTATACAAATTTAGGGTTAGGGTCATATAAATGCTAGCTATCATTATTTTTATTATTGGGAACAGTCCACCAAGGATTGTGTTTCCTCCCTTCTGGAGGTCTCCAAATAAAGGACAGAAGGATCTCACTTACTAGGGATGGTCTTGGTCAGGTGTGGCTGGACCCAGATAGCCACTGAGGCCCCATCCAATGATGGGATTCTCTGATTCTAGGAATGGCTCTGATTGCTCAGTCTCTGACAACTGAGCTGTCAGGGCCAAGGAAGCCACCAATGTGGGTAGAGAATGCCTGTAGAAAGGTGGGAATCTACAGATTATAGATCCAAAGTAGGAAGGCTCTCTAGAAGTCCCAGGAGTAAAAATTTGGAGGGGGAAGGGACCTTAGAGATCAGTCACCCAAGCTCTCATTTTAAGAGGAGGAAGCTAAGACCAAGAGAGTGGAAATGACTTGTCCAAAGTCACACAGGCACTTAAGTTTCATAGGCAGGATTTAAACCTAGGTCTTGAGCATTCACCTCTTATCTCCTGACTCTTTCCATTGTATCTCACTATTTTCTAGAACATCAGAGTTGCTGTTTCCTGAGTCTTTTGAGAGCACTGAGTCTTTCCTAGGCTGGGGTTGGGGATGTGGCATAGGGCTCAGAGTTGTGATGCTTTCTCTGCTAGGGCTGTACTGTTTGAAAGAGGCACTGTCTGTGACCAAGAATGGGCTGAGGTTTGGGGGGTGAAGAGGATAGAGGGTCTTGTTCCTTTCTGTGGCTCTCAGGAGCCCCTTCCAGGTGCCAGATGCTTAGCAAGGGTCCTGCTGGAGAGCCCTCCTCCTGTGAACGGGCTATGGGGCAGAGATGAGCAGAACCTACCATTTTTTGTTTTGCATTTAGATACCCAGATGTAGACCAAGAGCCATAAAGCAATGGGGGTTTATGTGTGTGTCTTACAGCAGGACAGTTTCCCAGACTCAGTCTACACTTCAATCTGCGGAGGAACCGAGGTGTCTACATCATCCAGTCCTATATGCCTTCCATCCTTCTGGTTGCCATGTCCTGGGTCTCCTTCTGGATTAGTCAGTCTGCTGTACCTGCTAGAGTGTCACTAGGTAAAGAGGGTGTGAGCTCAGGGAGAGGGCCGGGAGTATAAGGGCATGATAGAGGGAGGAGATAAAGGATCACAGATCTTGAGCTGGAAGGGACCTTCAGTCCCTTGTTGATGAGGAAACAGAGGCAGACAAAGGTGGTGACTTGCCCAGGGTCACACAGCTGGTAAGTATCTGAGGAGGGATTTGAACCCAGGACTTCCTGACTCCAAGTCCAATGCTCTATCTATCATACCATGCTGCCTCTATGGAGGAAGGAAAGAAAGGATAAATGCCATGGTTCTCATAATGGCAATTTACAAGATTGAATTTCCAAGGGTGGCTGGGAAAGGTTGGGGCTGCTCCCTCTTCACTATGGAAAAATGTGCAAGTCAACCCAGAAGTCACTCAGCAAACATCTGAGTACCCTGGGAGCGAGAGGGACAATGAGGAGGGAAGGGACTCTGACCTCAGAATATGGCATCAACAAGTGGTGACTTCGGGGGAGTCACGAGAAGAGAACCATATTTATTAGGAAGTGGAGCCTTCTGGAATGCATGAGCTAAACGTCAAATCCTACCTCAGACACTTACTGGCTGTGTGACCATGGACAAGTCATTTAACCTTTGTCTGCCTCAGTTTTATCTGTAAAGTAGGGATGGTGATGGTTGTTGTGAGGACCAAATTTGATCTGAAGTGTGAAACATTTTGTAGCCCCCAAAGTGCTAAATAAATGTGAGTTATTATTATTAATGAAGTAATTTGTAAACCTTGAAGAGCTACATAGATTCTAGTTATTATTATGAAGTCTTACAATATTGTTCTTCTGCTCAAGAACCTCACTGACTCCATATTGCCTCTAAGAGAATATACAGTCTCCTCAGCTTGCCATTCCCTAAACTTCATTTCACCTCTGTTCTCTGCTCAGGCTATCTCCTATGCCTGGATTATACTTCCTCTTCACATTTGCTTCTTAGAATTCCCAGATCCTAACAAAAAGGGGCAGCTAGGTGGCGCAGTGGCTACAGCACTGGCCCTGGAGTCAGGAGGACCTGAGTTCAAATTTGACCTCAGACACTTGACACTAGCTGTGTGATCCTGGGCAAGTCACTTAATCCCATTGCTTAGCAAAACACACACACACACACACACACACACACACACACACACACACAGAATTCCCAGATCCCTTCAAGGTCCTCCTTGGAAAACCTTTCTTGATCCCATTAGCTGTTAGTACTCTTTCCACATTCCTCTAATGACCATATATTTCCCTGCCTATACTATTTCCCTGTGGCACTGCCTTCTCCCAATAGGATGCAATATTAACAATAACAATAACAAACAAAACAAGAGGGTTGGGGACCAGAACTTGACCCATGATTTCATTGGCACAAGGAACTTATGGGTGAGGATGTTCCCTTTGCTGATGCAGGTTGGTACCTTCTCTTCAAGTTGTAATCTCTGAGAGCTGTCCAAAGTACTGAGAGATGAAGCGGCTTGTTTTTCTTAGTAGTTGTTATTCATTATAAATGAAGCAATGATTATTATGAATCAAATTTATACAGCCCTTTAAAATTTGAAAAACTCTTCACCTACAGTACTTCATTTGATCTTCACCTGTGAGTGCTATTATTGTTACCATTTTACAAATAAAGGAATTGAAGCTCAGAGTGTCAAGTGACTTAGCCAGGGTTATAGAGCTAGGAAATATCTGACCTTCCATAGTTTCAAATCCAGGTCTTCCAGACTCCAAGTCTAGGGCTCTGCCTTCTGTGGCACACTGCCAACTCAAGTGAAATAGTGAATAAATCTTTGGGTTTGGAGTCAGGAAGACCTGAGTTCAAATCTAGCCTCAGACATTTACTAGCTGAGTGACCCTGGTCAAGTAATTTAACATCAGTCTACTTTGGTTTACCCAACTGTAAAATGGGGGTGATAATAGCACCTTGCTCATAGGGTTATGAGGATCAAATAAAACACTATTTGTTAAGTACTTAGCAGAGTACTTGGCACCCAATGGTGTTTAATAAATGCTTCCTTCCTTCTTTCTTTTCTCCTTTCCTTCCTTAAGGACAGGGACTATTTTTATTTTTTGTTTTTGTGTTTCCCAATGACTACCACAGTGCCTCACACACAGTAGGCTCTCAATAAAGGCCTGTTGGATTTGCCTGGTTGCCTGACGGGCTCTGTTGACTGCCCTCTCCCAGGTATCACCACAGTGTTGACCATGACCACACTGATGGTCAGCGCCCGCTCTTCCCTCCCTCGGGCGTCAGCCATCAAAGCTCTGGATGTGTATTTCTGGATCTGCTACGTGTTTGTGTTTGCTGCACTGGTGGAGTATGCCTTTGCCCACTTCAATGCAGATTATATGAAGAAGCAAAAGGCCAAGCTGAAGGTCACCAAGCAGAGCAGCGAGGTGAGCATCCCAGGGAGTGGGATTCAGAGGCCCTCCCAGCAGGCGGTTCCCTTTGCTTGGCATCCAGGGTCAGGGACAGGCTTCTTCCCTCCTAGGGAACTGTCAGAGATGCTGCTCTGTACCTTCCCTCCCACTGAGTGCAGCCTGACTCTCAGCCTCCTGCCAATTCTCAGCATAAGTGGCTGGGAGCTGGTTGTCCCCGTGCCAACATGGGAGGAGAATGGGCATCCAGGATGCTTGTGATACAAGCTGCTGGTGGGCAGAGACAGAGCTTCTCCTTTTTATTGCTCATAGCAGGGCTTGTCACTGGGACCCTTCCCATAATAGGTACCTCCTAAATGCTTACTGAATCAAACTGGACAAGGTAATAGGGAGGTAGTGTGGAGGCCTTTGAGTCAGAAAGACATGGGTTCAAGCCCTGTCTCTGACACACGCATTGTTTAACTCTGTACAAGTCAAGGAGAAAGATAAATATATAGAGATGATATGGAAATAGAGATGAAAAATATATGTATATCTATATCTATATATATATCTACACACACACATATACATACATACATATATATATACATTATATATATATATATACATATATATATATATATATATATATATATACACAGAGAGAGAGAGAGAGTGAGAGAGAGAGAGAGTTAATGAGTACTTACTATGTTCCAAGCACTGGCCTAAGTACTGAGGATACAAATACAAGCAAGCAAGACAGTGCCTCCCCTCAAGGAGCTTACATTCTAATAGGGGAAGACAGCACATGAAGGGGTTTGGGGGATGCAGGATGGAATAAGAGGAAGGCAACCAAAACAAGGACAGTGCAGCTAATGGGAAAAAGTCCAATCAAAAATGAGGTGAAGCATGATGGTGTCCTTCCTGAAATCATGGTCCTGGGGAGGGGGATACTAATCAGAGGAGGAGGACTTCAAGATGGAGGTTTCTTAGGTGAACCATGAGGCATGCTGGGAAAAAGAGGAGGGGTCTAGAGCATCCAGGTGGTGGTAAGTTACCCTCTCAGTGCCCCAGACACTGATCTAAGTGGTAGAGCAGGTGCCTATTATCTGCATTGATAAAAGAAGTTGGCTCAGTGAGAGCCTGGTGCAGAATTGAAGTTACAGCCCAAACCAAAAATAAATAAACAAGCCTGGTTCTGTGGGGTTATCTCTAGCTTTGCTGAGGCTGAATCCTTTCCTTCCTTTTGCCGATTCTTGATTTTAAGGAACTGGGGGTGTTTCACCTGCAAAAGACTCAGGAGGGTGGAAGTGGGAAACATGACAACTGACTTCAAGTTATTTGAAGGGATGTCATGGGTGCAGCTTGCTTTGCTCCCAGAGGGTAAGGCCAAGAGTGATGGGTGGAAATGAAGAGAGAAATAGATTTATACTTGATGTCAGAAAAAATTTTCCCTCAGTCAAACAATAGCTGAAAAGCATTTATTAAACACCTACTATTTGCCAGATGCTATGCTAAGTGCTAGGGATACAAAGAAAGGCAAGAAATAGTAAATAAGCATTTATTAAGCACCTGCTACATGCCAGATATAGTGTCAAGCTCTGGGGATATAAAGAAAGGCAAAAGATAGTCCCTGCCCTCAGGGAGCTCACAGTCTAATGGGGAAGGCAACATGCATAGAGCTATATACAAATAAGCTGTAGATAGGAGATATTAGAAAGAATGAACAGACAGAAGGCACTAAGAGTCAGGACAAAAAGGAAAGGCTTCTTATAGTAGGTGGGACGTTAGTTGGGTCTTGAAGGAAGGCAGGTAAGTGCAGAGGCAGAGATGAGTGAGAGTATTCCAGGCTTTGGGGACAGCCAGAGAAAATGCCTCCAGAGGCCAGTGTCTCTGAATCACAGAGTACATGGAGGGCAGTAAGACATAAAGAGACTGGGGAGGTAGGAGAAGGCCAGGTTCTGTGAAGTCTAAAAGGGGAATTAGAGGTTGTAGGAGCATAAGACCACAAGTCTGAAGCTGGGAGTCCATGGAGTCATAGTATCCACAGGTCATAGATTCTACATTCTTTGCCCTCCTTTTATTTTATTTGTATTTTCCCAATGGTTAACCATTGTCTCTCTGAGAAACCATGAAACAGAAAGCAAGAGAAACTCTTCAGAAATACCAGTCAGGAGACAAGTTCATGATACAGTCTTTGTAAAGTACTTAACATAGTGCCAGGCATATAATAAGTGCTTAATAAATGCGTGTCCCTTCTTTTCTCCCTTAGTGAGAGAAATGAGAATGTTAAAACCGTGGTTTTAAGGATTGGAAAACTGAGTCTCAGAAACTTGCTCAAGGCCACACAGCTAGTAAGTGGCAGATGTAGGATTTGAACTCAGGTCCCATGGATCCGAATTCAGTACTTGTGTTTCTGCTAAACCATATCCATTTTACAGATGAGTACATTTCAGCACCCTTTTATATATTGTCTTCTCCCAGTGGAATATAAGCTCCTTAAGGATGGAGACTGTCTCTCCCCTCCCCCAGCTTGTATTTACATCCCCATCATTTTTAGCACAGTGACCGGCACATAGTAGGTGTTTTCCCCCCAGCTTGCATTCACATCCCCATCATTTAGCACAGTGACTGGCCAATAGTAGGTGCTTTCCCCCCAGCTTGCATTCACATCCCCATCATTTAGCACAGTGACTGGCCAATAGTAGGTGCTTTCCCCCCAGCTTGCATTCACATCCCCATCATTTAGCACAGTGACTGGCCAATAGTAGGTGCTTTCCCCCCAGCTTGTATATACATCCCCATCATTTAGCACAGTGACTGGCATAATAGGCACTTCCCCCCCCCCAGCTTGTATTTACATCCCCATCACTTAGCACAGTGACTGGCATAGTAGGCACTCCCCCCCCCCAGCTTGTATTTACATCCCCATCATTTTTAGCACAGTGACTGACACATAGTAGGCACTCCCCCCCAGCTTGTATTTACATCCCTATTATTTAATGCAGTGACTGGCACATAATAGGTACTTGATAAATGCTTCTTGACTTGACTAGGTCACACAGGCAGTGAGTAGCAGTGGGTCTCCCCTCACTGGAGGGGAGCTGAGGCTGGTGGACCCCTTGTCAGGAATGTTGTTGAGTTTAGTTTAGAACTAGATTGGACTTGATAGCCCCTGAAATCCCTTTTCACTTGGGGATTCTCTGACTCTTAAAGATGCTGAGGACCCTGTGTTCACCTTCTGTCCTTCCAAATCCAGCTTTATTCTCAGTGCTTTCTTTATTCTAGGTTTAGCACTTTTTTTTTTGGTTAGGAAATTGGGGCTTTCTTTATTCTAGGGCTTAGCATCAGGCCTGGCGCATAGTAGGCACTTATGTACGTAATAGACTGTCTGATTGAATGCTTAGGAGGAACCAGTTCCTGTCCTTCAGAACTCAAGGCTAAGCCTGCTCTTTCTGGGACAAGGGCAAAGAGGGTGGGGACAGGGTAGTGGGTGCAGTGTGTGTGTTCCACCAGCAGACAGATCCTGTGAGGCCATCATCCTCCCCAAGCACTAGCTGACATTCTCTAGGGAGAGGCAGTATAGTATAATGATTAGGACTTCCTGACTTTAAGTCAAAAAGACCTGGGTTCAAATCCTGCCTGAAAAGGACCCAAGAAAAGTCACTTAACTGTGCCTCCGTTTCCCCCTCAGTAAAATGAGGGGCTTGTGAAAATAAAGTTTAGCTAAAAAACAAACTGAGGGGGTTAGACTCTACAGCATCAAACGTCCCTCCCAGCTCTCAGTCTGTGACCCTCCGATCCCTTGCAGATCAATGTGAAGAATGCCATCGTGCTGTTTTCCCTCTCTGCTGCGGGTATCAATCAGGAGCTGGCCATTTCCCATCGCCAACACAGAATCCCAGGCAACCTCATGGGCTCCTATCGCTCCGTGGAAGTGGAAACAGGGGAGATGAAGAAGCAGGAGGGATCCACAGCTGGAAAAAAGGGAGGCTTGAGGTCATTTTTCAAGCCCATCGATGCTGACACCATAGATGTCTATGCCAGAGCGGTGTTCCCAGCAGCCTTTGCTGCTGTCAATGTTATCTACTGGGTGGCATACACCATGTAAAAGCAGCTACACACACCACACACATGTACACACCCATATACAATGTATACACTCATACACATACACACCCATACACAATACACACATACACACACACACACACATACACACACACACACACAACACACACACACACACACACACACACACACACACACACACACCCCTTCTGGAGCTTGTGGGTGCAGCTGTCGGACATTCCAGCCCCAATTTCACCTCACTGCTATGAAAGAGACACTAGACCTCTGGTCTGGTTTGTACTTTGACTTTTTTGTTTTTTCAGCGGAAGGGGGAAAAATCCCTGAAGGAAAAAAAAAACCTTTGAAACCTCTGGCTTCACCTCACTACTGACCAGGTAGAGGAACATCTTTCCAGTTCTGGATTCCTCAGTTTACCCTTGTACTGGTCCTGAAGAAAGAACTCCAAAGGCTAAGCTAACCCAGGATGATCAGATCAGGGTCACAGCAGCAGAAAATGTTCCTGGAATCCTAGAAGGGACCACAGAGAACATCAGATCCCCACCTCTCATTTTACAGAGAAGGAAACTGAGGCTCAGAAAAGGGAAATAACTTATTCCAGTCAAATAGATGGCTTTGCCAGTCCCAGCTATTTCTAACTTGGGGTCTGACCTCTTGACTTTCGGGTGACTGAGCACCCTGTGGGAGATATGGATTTTTGGACCCACAAGATGTTTTTCCATTTCTAGGTTCTCTGGGGTTAGTAAGGGAGGGAACCTGAGGGTTCTCACTGTGGTTATTGTGTATCTTGGATTAAATGTTAAAAAGGAGGAAAAAATCTCTGCTGACCTCTGGCCCCCACATGTAAGAAAGGATTTCTCCTAGAAGGGAGCTGCATTCTTCAATGACAGCTTCCCTAGTCCCTGTGCCTGTAGGAGACGCCCGCACCCCTGGGGAGGAGGGCCTGGCATATGATGCTTTTGAACACAACAAGAAAAGAAGGAACGTTTGAGCAGGATGAAAACTTGCCCCTTCCTGCTTCTGCCTGTTCTGTGACTCAGGCTTAACTTTATAAGGCCAGAGTAAAAAAAGATGAAATATTGGAGGCTTTCTTTTTTCTATCCTTGGTCCTATTTATAACTTAAATAAAATCACTGATATCACCAGGGAAGAGAATACTGTGAGGAAAAAGAAATGATTCTCAACTTAACCCTCAGAGAAAACAGCTCCATCGTCAGTCATGTTCAAATGGCCGATTCCAGTCTTAATGGAAATTTTGTGCCCTACAACTCCAGAAAGCTGTGGGCTGACTCCGGCCCCTGTATGTCCCCCCAAGGCAGGTTCTACTTAAGAGCAGAGCTGAGGAGTGACAGAGGTTTGGCTCTTTCTGATAGCTAATATTCATAATAAGGGCTAATGTCTATGGATATATGTGTGGGATGCCACTCAAATTAAAAAACATGCTTAGAGGTTTTTCAAGGAGAAACAGAAAGTTAATTTATTTGCTATTCTGGAGAATAGGGTGTCCTTCCACTGGGATGATCTGATGAAGGGAGAGAGAGTAAAGGAGCTAAGAACCAGATTAAATAGCCCTAACAGGCAAATCCCCCTTCCCACCAACTGGCCAATGTTTTGGCTCACAATCTACGGAAACAGAAAACAAACGAAAGAGAACAATATACATGTCTGTATTTAGCCCCTTAGTTTGCTGGCGTAATACCAAAGAAGCAATTAAAAATGTGCAGTCAAGCTAGACACTGTCCTGTATAGCCAGGTCACCATAACTGAAATATAGCAACAGGTACAACAAGATACAGGGGGGCTTCTTCAGGAGTTTCAGGCTTGGCAAACTTAAACTACTGATATAACAATGGCATAGAAGGGGGGGTAGTTGGGGTTGGATTCCCGTAACTCAGGTGATTTCTAATAAACTGAAAGTTAGGCCTGTTGGGCTGCTATGCCTGCCTTGAGTCACAATACGATTTCTATTTATTCTTCTAAAAAGTCTTCACAGGACCCCTCATCCCACTCTTATCCCAAACCTTAATTATACTAAGGAGTCTTCACTGGGATATCCCATTCATATATAAATATAATTTATAATTACATATTATATATTAGCATTATATTATTTATAATGCTAATATGTTATTATATAACACAAATATATTATATAATGATATATAACATACAATTTATATATTTATAAATGTTATTACAACAACACTTTCTTTAATTTAGTCAATTTATTAACATTTATTAAGCACCTACTATGTGCCAGGCTGTGGCTAAGGATTGTGCTAAGCATTAGGATACAAAAAGAAGCAAAAAAACTGTCCCTTCCCTCAGGGTTCTTCCAATCTAATGGGGGAGGCAACCTGCAAGCAAGTATATACAGTTGTTAATTTGTTTCAGTCATGTCTGACTCTTCCTGAGCCCATTTGGGATTTTCTTGGCAGAGATACTGGAGTGGTTTCCCATTTCCTTCTCCAGCTCATTTTAGGAACTGAGACAAACAGAGTTAAATGACTTGCCCAGAGTCACAGAGCTAGTAAGTGTCTGAGGCCAGATTCGAACTCAGGGAGATAAGTCTTTCTGACTTCAGGCTCAGCTGTATACAGGATAAATAAGAAATAACTGAAAGAGGAAAAGCACAAGAATGAAGAAGGAAGGCTTCCTGTAGAAGGTGGAATTTTAGTTGGGACTTAAAGGAAGCCAGGGAAGTTGGTACTCGGAACAGAGGAGGAAGAGTGTGATAGGTGTTATCATTACCTCCATTTTACAGATGAGGAAACTAAGGCAAACAAAGGTTATATGACTCATCCAGAGTCACACAGCTGGTAAATGTCAGGCTGGATTTGAACTCAGGTCTTCCTTATTCCCGCCCAGCACTCTCTCCACTGGACCACTTAACTAATTTATAGATCATAGTTCTGGGGCTGTAAGAGCTGCTACCGATATTTAGCAATTCAATAAGCATTTGTGGGGGTATCTAATCCAACTGCTTCATTTTACAGAGGAAACTGAGGCACAGAAGGACAAAGGGATCTTGTCCAAGGTCACAAAGGATGAAGTGGCAAAGTCAAGATTTCAGCCCAGGTCCTCTAATATGTTAAGGTCTTCCTGATCACAGTAATTGACATTTTTATTGGACCTTAATGTGCGTTAAGCTGTCTCTCTTCATTGTCTCAAATGAGTCTCTCAACAATCCTGTGAGGTAGATAAATCCTAAGAGATAGCATGGTCCCCATACACAGATGAAAAAGGATGGATGAGAAGTGAGATTTCAATCCTAGTCTTCCAGTCTCCAAATCTACTGGTAAATTCCTCCTTGGGAGTCCCCATTCTACAGATGAGGAAAGTGAATTTTAAATGACTTGCCTGAGGTCAGACAGCTAGGTAGTGACTATGGAGGATAGTGTTGAAACTAGGACTTCCTGACTCCTAAATCAGCATGGCCCGGGGGTCTTGTCTTCAAAGGAGCCCATCCCATTGTGTCTGCTCAGTCCTTGCCCCACTCAAAGGCAGCTGGCTGTAGAATGCTGGTTTGGTAATAAGAAAGACCTGGGAACCAATCCCACACTTCCCCCACCTCCAGGGGCAAGTCATTAACCATGTGGGAGCCTCACTTTTCTGCCTAGTAAATGGAGTTAATAATAGCTGTTATTCCTGCCTTCCAGGGTTGCAGTAAGGCTGAGAAGAGAGAAGAGATTTAAACTGATCTATAAACCTTAAAGGGTTATATAAATGCCAGTGGTTATTATTATTATCATTATGAGGCTGTGTTATCTCTGAAGGTAAAGTCGGCAGATTCTCAGCAGGAAGGAGGAAGCTAAATCTGGGTCCTAGAGCCAGGGGAAGGTCTGATTTTCAAGGCTTTGAGGAGAGGGCAAGTATGTGGGCTCTGAATACTGCAGAGAAGGGTTCTTCACCTGGAGCCCACAGACCAAAAGGCCCATGAACTTTAAAAAATATTTGTATTTTGGTAATTATTTCAATATGACGGGTTACTGTATGTGTGTGTGTGTGTGTGTACATATACGTGGGGGGGGGGAGTTTCCTTTGTAATCCTATGTATTTTATTTTATGCATTTAAAAACATTATTCTGAGAAGGGGTCCCAGGCCTCTCCAAACTGACAGCCCGAGGGGCCCACACGCACAAATAAAGATTAAGAACCTCTGTCCCAAGTTGGCATGGCCCAGCCTTTCTGAATGCCCTGCTGGCCGGTGCTAGTGAGAAGCCTCATTACTGACCAGCATAAAGGGTGGGCTACTAGGTGTCGCCATAGTGTGTAGAGCGCCAGGCCAAGAGTAAGGAAGACTCATCTTCCTGAGTTCAAATCTGGCCTCAGATGTTTACTATCTGTGTGACCCTGGGCAAGTCACTTTACTCTGTGTGCCTCAGTTTCCTCATCTGTAAAATGAGAAGAAGGAAATGGCAAACCATTCTAGTATCTCTGCCAAGAAAACCCCAAATGGGGACATGAGGAGTCAAGCATCGCTGAAACAACTGAACAATAACAGCGCAAAGCGTGAGCCAAGGACAGTGTCAGTGGTCACAGAAGAATGAATTAGGCCAGGGGAGAGCTGCTCCCTGAGAAGAATCTGGGAAGCTGTTAATTGGGAGGGTGCTGGAAACAAAAGAATAGAATTAATGATGCTCTTAAAGGGAACAAGGCATGCAAGGGACTGTGCAAGATGTCACTCCCCAGCGCTAACAAATATCCCGGAGGCTCTTTTGAGCTAGGAAGAGGATAAAGTGTAAAGCAGAGGGCCTCTGAATACCTCCCAGGGACAGAGTATCAGCTCTGGAGCCGCGAAGACCTGAGTTTGAATCTTGCCTCATAGTCCCGTGGTGTTGTTCAGTCATTTTTCACTCACATCTGACTCTTCCTGACCCCATTTTGGGTTTTTCTTGGCAAAGATGCTGAACTGGTTTGTCATTTCCTTCTCCAGCTCATTTTTACAGATAAGGAAACTGAGGCTAATAGGGTGAAGTGACTTACCCAGGGTCACACAGCCAGTAAGGCTACACCTGAACCATGAGTCTTGTTGACTCCAGGCCTAGTGCTCTATACGGTATTGTGCCACCTAGCTACCTGTCACATACACAGGTTATGTATTATA